CATTCACACCTAAAACATCTTTTAACAGTTTGTGGGATGCTTTGATTTCCCTTTGCTGACAAGATTTAGAAAAGAGCTCCCCCAGCAGTAAATAAGTTACTATCATGCTTTTGTTACCTTCTTCAAGCATTTGAACTCTGTAATGAGGCCTGTTAGCCATAACAGACCTCAACAGGAAGATCAAAATATTTTTGTTAAACATGAGAACCTTAGCATTGGAGCAGATACTTCTTTGAGTGTCTTCTAGTAGATTTTAGATGGGACAGAAGTGAAGGGAAGGGGAGGGTGGATTCTGATACCAAACACGCCTAGCTTTGTTGTTGACTTGCTTTCACTTCTTGTGGCATTGAGACACTGTTTTTTAGAAGGGTTTTGAATTGCATGGCAGAAAAGAATTAATGAGTGAATATTTTTCTTTGAGTTGGGTCCATGGAAACAGATGACAGGAAAGGAAGTAAAATAAGGCTGTAGTCTGGTGGCTTTGCAGAGATAAGAGGCACAGAAAGAGAAATGCTCAGAAACTAAAGTCAGGAGGATGTTATATGAAAAATAGTTTTAAGTTATAGAAGATATCACTTCTGAGTTGCATTTTTTTCCCACTTATCTCGAATGCAAGTTGATAATATGCCCTTTTCAGGTATTGATGAAGAACTTACTGAAGGTAATTCAGGTGCTGCAAGCACTGGTAAATCCATTGTTGTTGAGAGTCCTCTCTTGAATGATGATGCTTCACAAAAACTAGCAGATTTGGAAAATGAAGCTGCTGATGACTTGACTTTATCCTTTCATGAAAAGAAACTTAAGAAAATAATGGTTTCAGAAGGTGATAATATACCAGATGACAGAAAAGATGGTAAAGAAGAATGTTTGGAAGGTCAAAATGAGGGTAATGACAGAAAAAATAATGAAGTGCTTTCAGCTGCTGAAGAAGTACCCTGTGATAATAGTGAAAGTGATGCCTTGCCTATTCATGAACTACATAAAAAAAGAAGTCAAGAGGAAAAGCAACCAACAGCAAAGCCACGGCTGCACAAACAAAGAAATGCTCCAGCATCAGGTGAAAAGAAAGCTTTGAATGTTGTTGCTGCTACTTGCTTAGCTATGTTACAGTATTTTAAAGTGGTTTAGTTCGGGTTATTTTCTGTGTTAATGATCAGCTGCTTCTAAAAATACATAACCTCCATCTGCCAGGGGGTAAACTGAAAAACTGTGGGCCAAATAGCAGGAGGTTCCTGTTTTCCTTTCAGAAGATGAAAAACAGCTGTTTAGGTCCTTGAAGTTCAGCTCTTCACCAGTGCATGTCCATGAAAGGTGTGGGAGGGCTACTGACTTGGTTCCGCAGTATGTGCCTAGCTCAGAAAGCCATATTCGCATAGTGTCCACAGCTTCCATGTATCCTTCCATGGAAGGTCATTAAATAGCCACCTCTTTTTTATGACCTGGAAAGTTTGATCACACTGTTTGCAAATACAATGTTGAAGTTGTTATACTGAAACATCATGAAGCTGTAATGTGACAGAATGTCAGAATAGTAGATTCTCATAATTGCAAAGTTAAAACTTCAAATGATCTTTTACTTTAAAGATACTGACACACTTTGGATGTATAGTCAAACACATAAAACCCCCAAATTTTAATGTTTCGTTATAAGACTAGGTAATGCATTTTTAATCTGCAAAGCAGAACTTGGAATTCTGCTAATTAACTTTTACAGATATAAAATGTCAAAAGACTTCATATTCATATCCAATTCCACTCGTGTTCTTATCTAATTCCATTCTAATCTTCAGATTCATATCTAATTCCTAGTATGAGAGGAATTTGTCCTGTTTGATGTTGAGATAAATTTGTGGCTGGTCATTAGCCATGATGGAAGATTACAACTTTGAAATTGCTAGAGCATGATTAATGATATCAGCTCCTTTTTGTGTTTCCACATGATGGCACCAAAGTGCTGGATATTTGAATGCACAGTTGGGCAGTGCAACACCTCTCTGTCCTGGCTGTTGTGCTTGTGTAGTTTTACACTGGCAGAAAAAAAAGTTGAATTACTCCTTGTCAGTAGTGCAGTGATAATGGCATATTGGTTTTCAATTCAGAATTCTCCTTGTCACCTGAACTTACCTTCACCATTGTAAATCTAGGTTAAATTTCGTAGATTGTGAGCATTGATATTCCTTTCTTCAGGTAATTTGGAGTTCATTTCTCATTCAAAAATTCTATTTCTTTTAAGAATTCTATCAGAAAATTGTGGAAGACTAATTTGGTTTCACCACAGCCTTTTTTGGTTTGTGTCTCAATTGTTTTACAAATTTATATCTCTGCATTAATGGTGATGTTTTCTGTAAATCCCCACTGCAGAATCTTTCTGTTATTTCCTCATGTGTCCCACACCGCTGAAAAACATCATAGAATGAAAGTTTTGGTTACCCAAAGTGTTGTGCAGACTTCACTAGTAGTTTGCTAGATGTCGGAAGATCTCTTACTGTGATTGCAATGACTCTTGCTTTTGGTTTCTGCAGTAGAACTGCATTTGGATGGTAAGGCAGATGGGAAGTTTTGCCTTTGTCATGCTCTCACATTCTTTAACATTAGTTAAAGCTTCAGTTTCTACTCCAGTCTTACATTTAAATACAAGTGAATACTCTTCTTATTAGTAGGTAGTTCTTAGAAGGAAGTATACAGAAAATACTGTATAAAATTTAGTAAAAACTTTCATGGACAGATGTTTTTTGGACAGAAATAAAAATACTCAGAAACAATGAAATTCTTGTTAATGTGTCCTCTCAATCTTTTTTCCTCCCGTTAGATCAAGATCAGAAGACTGTCAACACCAGTGACTTCAAACTGGAGGACAACAATAGAAAATCTTCTGTGATAGAACAAATGATGACCACAATGTATGAGAAGACAAGGGAATTGGAGAACCCAACAGCTGACAGTTCAGATGGAACAGTGAAAGTAGGAGAAGGGCAAATAATAACTGATACAATGCAAGAGATATCAATGAATGGTCAATCTGAACATAGGGAGGCAAAGAATGCATCAAAGAGCTCTGTCAAGGTATTACTCATAAGCATTTTGTGTGGAACAATGTCCTAGAAGCATGGTGGAAAGTTTTGTAAGGTTACTGTTGGTAACTTAAATGTGAAAATGCTATCTGTAGAGCTGACAATTTATCTCTGAGCTGAGATTTATCTAGAGCTGAGGCTCTTACAAATTCTATATAGTTGTATAGAAGGTATTGACATGTGTTTTCCAGTCTTAAGAAAGTACCCTTGTCCAAGTGAAAATAACAGATCTCTATTGTGAGGCTAACTGAATTGCAGTGAGCAGTGCATGTTGGCAGAGGATGAAATCCCTGGTGTGACCTGAGTAAGGGATAGGTTGCAAAGCATTCTATGCTTTATCATAAGAAAGAAAATGTGTAGATACATATAATTATTAAAGCTAAGTATTTGAAGAACCTAAAAGAGTGTTGATAGAATAACAGGGTAACCCACTACCCAGCTGGGTTCTTTTTATTTCTTTGTATTTCTAAACTACAGAATATATTTTTATGTAATACAAATAAACATTTCTAGGTGCTATTTGAAAATTATACAGGCATTCTGAAAGTTTGGTTGCTTGGTTTGGATTTGTTTGTTTGGTGTTTTTCTCCTTACTTTCTTACCCTGTACTGTACCCCCTCTGTATTAGAGTGGCTTTCCTGCCTATTTTTCTATCATAGAACTATAGAATATTTCAGGTTGGAAGGGATTTGTAAGGGTCAAGCCCAACTCTCAACATCCCTGTTAGCTTGTAAAAATCTGTTTCATCCTGATCTAGTTCTGTTGCTTGAGAGACTCTATAACTTCTACTTTTCCTCTGTTTCTTAGAAGCCAAGTGAAACAAAGGAGAGAGTTTTACAAGACTCAAAGGCTTCTTTATCTGACAGGTAAAAGAAACACTCTTAGGTATCACACTCTGCACAGTGTAAGATGCATGTAAGGGCCCCGACAATGCTGCTTCATTCTTATTTTCTGTCAGCACTGTATTCACTGCTGACAACATCTGACCATCTGTGAAAAACCTTTTAGTGGATGAGGCATGTTCTTATGACCCTTACTCAAGTTTATATCCAGTCAGACTCCCAAATCTTTTGACATTGTCTGTGATGTGTGTGTGCTACTGGAGTCTTTATAGGTTTTAAGCTGCTTTTTAGGTGGAAGTTTAAGGAATTTGTAAACTTTCTTGGCCTGGATATGTTGCATAATGGCTTGTTTTGGCAATAATAAAGCCCTCAGAAAAAAAAAAAGGTTCTTCCTTTTCTCCAGTCCCCAGTCAAGTGCATATAAAAAACCAATCACAGTAACTTTTGGTATGTACTGAAATAAAGGGAAAACTGCTTGGTATCAGCCACAATAAGTGGAAAGATCATTAATGTGTTTGTGTTCTGGTATTTTCATAGGTCTCCATCTTCTGTACACCTAAAGACAAAGGTGAAGGCTGTTCCATCAGCTACACCTGTTTTATCTCAATGTCTGGGAACATTAAACCTGTTGGAGAATAAATGCGTGGAGAAGAAAAGAACAGAATTTGACAAAGCAGATAGTTTAAGAGCAGCTGTTTTTCAGGTAAATCTTAAAAATGAGCAAACAAACCAACAAACAAAATTGTGCATAGAAAGGTCCTGATCTAGGAGTCAACACCTCATATTTCTTGAAATCAATATTTCTTACTATATTCCTTGCATAGGCTTACAGGTGTAATAATCCTTTTATTCTGTTGGCTATCGCTTTTCCTCAAATTATGAACTCAAAAACTATATGAAAGGGATGTACTGTGATTCATAATTTATCATGTCAGACTATTTTCGGGCACATATTTTCCTTTATTTCTACTTCATCTTTAACATGAGTCTGTAGTTTAAAGTTGCTCTTTTTTTCCTGGTATGTTCTATTCATCTGATAACAAATCTAGTACTCTCTCCAGAAGAAAAATTATGTAAATTCCATGTAGAATTTCACAACGATTAGTTTATGGGTTCCAACAGACTTTTGCTACTAATCTGTTTGAGAACAACTTTAAATCCAGAAGCTGTTCATATTGGTATGTGTTTTTAATACTTGTTATGGTCCTAGAACAAATTTTAGACCTCAAATTAAAATTTATATTGTCTCTATAATTTTAAAGGTAAAATAGTCTTCATTTAGGACACTTGTATCTCTAAGCTGTATACCAAATAATATAGTTAAATCTTGAAAATTTAAGTCTGTTTCTGCAGATGGCTCATAACCTTTTATGGTTGCTTGAAGTCTCACTCTTCCCAGTAGGGTTTTATTCTCTTTAATTATAGGAATTTGCAAGACAGACAACAAATGTAAATAATATCCCTATATTCCAAGTGATAAGAATCTTTATTTTATTCTTCTTTTTAAATTTGTTTAAAACTTACATTTTTTTGGTGTTTCTATGAAGATTTTTTTTAAGATATTTAAGCTTTTTTAGATTTTGTGGCTATGATTTTAGAAGCTTAGACTTTTTTTTGATCTCAACGTGTATGTGATAACAGCTTAGTCTTCCACATGGGGTAGTATCTAAGTAGCACATGGAAGAATTAAGAGTAATTTTGGTGGTCATTGTATTGATGCTGCTCTGTACTTACACCTTAAAAGGACTTTAAAAGTCTTTAATGATTCTTACAGAATTGGTTGGAAAAGAAAAAGCTCTTCCTAATGGAATTAAGGAGAACTGAGAAGGAGAAAGCTGAAAATCTCAGAAACGATACTGAAAAGGTTTGTTTACATTCTTGTTAAAAAGAAGTTAACAGACTATAATTCTTTGAAGTGTGCTTGTCTGTGCTTTCTGCCTGAGTGCATCAGTCTGCTGTTGTAAGGCATCTGGTCTTCTCCAAAGAGCACGAGGTGATTTGGAACACTAAATGGTATGTCCTGCTTGTTATGGTTGTGGCAAACTGTGTGTGTCTGATGTTTCCCTACACATTTACATAAGGTGTGTTAAAAGTGTGCTTCTTAGATTAATTTTCAGGTTTGTTTACAAAGACCTCAAATCTTAAGGTGCTAAGTTTTATGTTGTCTATTAGAACATAAGGGCTTTACTTCCTCCCTCAAGAGAAGCTTATCTCCAGAGGACTGTATTTTGAATAGTACTGTACACATTCTTTGATTTGACTTTTAAGTATTTAATACATTTCACTGCTAGGCACTTAACATGTATTTCATATCCTTATACACATATTTTGCTGGAATAGTTTGTTTCAGTTAACTTAAATTAAAAATGAACATAGAAAAAACCCCGCCATATGTATTTAAAATTTAATTGTGAGTAATACTTGAAATGTTGTTGTCGAATCAATTTCTGTTTCTTTATTGCTCCATTAACAATTAGTTTAAAGCATACTACCTCAATTATAATTTTATACTGAAGTGTACTTAAATGTAGACTTTTGTTTGCAATCTAGAAAGAAGCACTTAGAAGAGAGGAATCAATTGCATGTTTTGAAGCCTGGAAAGAAAAGAAAGCAAGAGAAGCAAAAAAGTTAAGTGAAAAAAAGAAGCTTGAGGAAAAAACCCCAGCAGAACAGAATAAAGAGAAAACAGAAGCAGCACAGGTGGTGATGTGAAATATGTACAAAAACGTATATCAAATGTGGTTCAGGAGATTGTAGAAAATAATTCTGATTAATCCAGAAGGAGATGGAAATTAACTAGAATCTAAGTCTAGACATGCTTAATTTTTGAAGTAAGTTCATATTAGGTTCTGTCCTGCCAGAAATACGTAATGTTTACATTTGCAGACAAACATGCTTCTATATTTGGAGTCTATTAACTGAATATAAAATAAACGCCATATAAATACATTTAACTAATACTTGCTGTCAAAATAACTTATTCCTGTTAGGCATAGTGATACCCACTTCTAAGAAATGCTACAAACAAATATTCTGAAATTGGAATGTGTAGAAATTACAAAAAAAAATAATACAGAATAGGCAAGGGGAGTATTGACAAAAAGGTGAGGGGTAAGATTTCTCATGAATCTATGGTTTTCTTTAGGCATTCAAAGGATGGAAAGAAAAAAAAGTGGAATATTTAAGAGAGCAAAGCAGAAAGGAAAAAGAATCTGAAAGAATCAGGAAGGAGAAAGAAGAGGAACTAATTGCAGAGAAGAGGAGAATCAGCATATCAGCAGTTGAAAAATGGTACTACTCCACTGGGTTTTCCTGTATCATAGTTTCCAAAGTCTTCACATACAAATGTAATAGGTCTTCTGTGAGTGCTTGATGTGCTTGTAGTTGTAAGACAATGCTTGGGATGAGACTCTTCAGTCCCAATGGAGAATAAGTATAACAGTGAAAGCAAACTGTACGGCTCCTTTCAGTTTAGTAATTTAATTGCTTTCCTCCCCAAAAAGCTACTAACTAAGCCCAGTCAGAGATACCGCAACGGAGACGTAAGATTGACTGAGTATAGTGTCTTATGTGGTTAGTTTCATGTTTCATTACTAAGCCACAGGAAGGTAAGTAAATCTTTAAGTTTTGTGGAATACAATGTAAGAATGCAGATGTACGCAGGAAGGAAAGAAATGAGATGTATCTGCTGGAGAAATTCTGTGTTAGTTTTATAAGCCAAGAGTTTTCACAGACCGCGTGCAACTTACAGTTACCTACAGAAGTTCAGAATCTAAGGGTTATTTTGTGATACTGAATAAGGGAAAAGCAGTAAAGAAAAGGTGATGCCATAACAGATAGAGTAGTAGGTTCATTTATACCTTGGTGATATATCAAAATGGACTGGGAAGATTTTAAATATATATTCTCAAACTTTTATTAAAAGTATAAAATATCTCTTGACTCAATTTAGTTAATCAGCAACAGCATTTAGTCTGTTACGTGATGATCTCTTTTTCTTCCCTCTCATAATACAGGAATGAAAAGAAGGAAGAATATATAAAAAAGAAGAAAGTAGAAAAAATCCTAGAGAGGAAAAAGCAAGAAATGCAACAGGCAAAGAAGGAAGAAAAAAATGAAAAGGCTATGGAGGAATATGAAAGATGGCTGGTATGTTTGTTTGGGGATTTTTTTTTGCACTTTGTCAAAACCAAAAAGTTAATGTAGTAATGAGTGTGAACAGTTGTGTATTGTGATACTTATGAGTTTTCGTGCTGTTGTTAGAAAGGCCAGACGGTGGCAACATTGCATAGCTTGTCCTCCAGAATTCGTGAGCAAAATGATGGTAAAGTACGGTGGACTTGATATTTGGCAGACATGGAAAATATATTCTCCCTACGTACATGTTAAAGGGTTTTCTATTTCATAGTTACTCTTGATTTTTTGCCATTTCACGTCAGAGGCAACCATCTCTGAAGGGCCAACTCACCACAGCACAAAACCTGCAAAGCCAAACAGCATCCCCAGCTGCAACAGTGAGTGCATGTACATTCAAGGAAGCATTGAAAGTGGAGACTTGTATACCTACAGCTGGTAAAAGCACTTGTAATGATGTTCAAAATTATTATTACAAGAAAGAGTGGAACTCTGATGCTCCCAGTTATATTTTTCCCACAACAGTGTCCTTTAGTCTCAATAGTTAAGCAATAAACTAATCTATTACTCTAGTCCCAACAGTTAGGCAGGGTTTTTTCCCTTGCTACAGAGAGACAAACTAGAAGAGAGATCACTAATATTCTTAGCATATATTGTTTTCTTGAAGGTATGTGACTTGCTATTTAAAGAAAAACCTGTGTTTTAATTCCTAACCCTGTGACCCAGTCATTCCTCATACTGACTCTCAAGGTTTTCTTAGTTTGAGAGTGTTTCTTCTGGTTTCTCTCTTCCATGTGATTTCTGGCACACATCCTGTACATATGGTCTCTATTGTCATTTGTAAGAGTGAGATCTTGCAACTCATCTGGCTTAAGGTCCTTACAGGAATTTCTTTGTACTGTCAATGGCTAAAAAAATCTTTTATTTGGTTTTTTTTTTTTTTGAGAAATGAGAAGGCAGAGAAATGAGAATTGAGGCAGGCAGATGTACAGATGTTGGACAGGTTTAAAAAGGACAGTCATCCTTTACTTGGCTAACTCAGAAATACACAGTTGCATAAAACAGCAAGAGCCTGCATGTTTTCTCTTCTCTGTTTTCATATTTTTTTAGTCTGAGGTTTAGATCTTTTAAGGTCTTTGACCTGGTCCCTGTTGTATTACCTCTGATTTCTGTAATCATTGGTAAAAATTGTTTTCTCTAGTCCTCTTTGTCAAGTGATTTCCAGCTCAGTTTAGTCAAATTATTAATGTCCAATCTTAGATTATTTCTTGCTTAGTCAATATTCCTGGTTGCCAAGGAAGGAAGTGCTGCATTTTAAGCAGTAACTAGTGCACTGTCCTCTATGCTCTGCTTACTGGGACTATCCTAATCAGTGTAGTTGTATCAAAGCCTGAATGTTGCTGTGCTGTCTTGGACTCTGTACAAAGGTAAAAATATTATCCTTTTTTTGGGGAATGAAAGATGCTGCCTAGCACAGACTCCCCTGTTCAAATTGTATATAAATTCCTGAGGTCACCACTTCAATGGGATTATTAATATAAACGTTAGTAGTTGGAGGAATGACCAGATCTAACTGGATATACAAGTGCCTACATGAGAGGAGCACTTTGAAAAATAAGCAGATGCAGGAGAATGGGATAGATACTGAACTGGTTGACAGAGGTACCTCTAAAATGATCTCATTTTCAGTGTCTGTGTGCAGGTGTTGACTGATGTGTCTCATGCCCGATCTTTAGGTTTTTACTTTCAGAATTTGTGCTGGCTTTTTTCAGCTTAGACACCTTTATTTCAGAAAACATATCGGGCAATAGCTCTGTCATCATGTTTGACCAGAATATCATCTCACTTTGTACAGTTATAGAAAAAATACACACCTTTAGTGAACTGCAGAAAGGAAACACTGTAAAGTTGTCAATGGGAATTAAAGTTGTCAAGGGAACTAAGATGATATCTGCCTGCAGGTAGATAAACAGGAATCAGATCTGAAGGCAGAATTGTGGAGGCCTTTTAAGTGTATTCTTTCAACTAAGGAGGTTTTGGTTCGAAGGGAAATAAAATAGGAGTAGTATAGTGGGAAGTATTCTAATATGTTTTCATTGATATTCAACAGAAATAAATGTGTTTAAATTCATCCTTGGGTTTCCTGAACTAAGTGTTGACCATAATGCATGGGTAAAAAAGACATAAAAATCTGCTTGTAGTTCTTCTTAAATAGAAGAAACATTCTGCTTTTGTATTAATGGAAATTGTGTTACTTCTGCTTTTAGAGATCATTGTGTGAATGTTTGATAACATAAATTGCATAGAGAAGATTACTTTTTAAGCCTGAAAATAAATGCCCTGAAAAAGGTTATTAACACTGGTACAATATTAACACAAAAAGGATAATCTTGAGCTGAGATGCTTTAGTATTGCCTGGGAAATTTAAGCTTCTGATTATTTTGTTTCTTTCCTACTGTTTGCCTCTTGCTACTCACCAAGAACTCTTCAAGCCAATCTAGCCTGATAAATGATAAGTTTTTACTTAATGCATGATACCAGTGTCTGACACTTGTTACTGACATGCACCTGTTCTGAGGAGTGAAATGTGGAGAAGAATCGCATTGGAAGTTTATAATGACAGATGAGTTTAGTTTTCATTTATTTCTGAGATATCAATTTGATACCTGTTTACTGTGGATAAAAGTGAGTAGCCTGGATATGTTATGTTGTCCGTTTTCTGTGCTATGCATTAACATAGTATGAGTTGATGAGAAGTAAGGCTGCTCACAAATGATTCTTAAAGATCAACATAGTAAGGTTAAATGCCCTAGAGGAAGTTTGAAATTTTACCTTGAGGTTGAGCATATACAACATCTATTTTTAGCATTCTGAAGCTGTTTAAAAATATTAAGAAAGTATGTACCAGATGAGTCTCATGGATTTATAGCTTTTCTGAGTTAGGAACAGCTGATGTGGGTTATTCATTTTGTGTGATTTAATAAGATCTCTTTGAAAATACTTTCTATATTGGAATTTTTATGTCCTGGTACTGCAGTATGTTAGAAATAAGGCTGCTGTTGTTACTGCTCTTAAATGTTGTACGTCTTCTCTAATATCTAAAATTCAATTATTATGTGGCAGTCATACTGCTAAAGAATGTGGTCTTCCCAGAATTTGGTAGGTGAAAAATGTACTCATCTTACTAGGCTATTGAGTAGAAAACTTCCACAGAAATCAAGCCATGCAGTTGAGTTGATCTACTGTATGATGAGCTACAGTTATTGATTTAGTCTTTCACTGTTTCTGTTACTGTTCTTCTGTTAGTGCAAATAACATCTTGTTTATTATTTTATGGAAGATTTATATCAGTTATATCTTGTAAGAATGTGTACTGTGATTAGGACTAGAACATAAAAAGCTTTTTGTGTGTTGAAGACAGGGAAGAAGCCAGTAAGTCTTGATGTCAAATTTAATCTTTTAAAAACCAGTTAAATTAGCTCGAGATTCTTTTCTTGGCACTGGGATTCATTAATGAAAACTGGATCTTCAAACCCAAACATTCAACACTGCTGAGACACAATTAAAAAATCCAAAGCAACTTTTGTTCTCTTCCTGGGTGGATGTTTACTTTATTTTTCATTTGGGCTTTTCATACAGGAGTCTATTGTCCACATGTATTCAGTAAAGAGTGCTTGACAAACATTAAATACGCACTTTTTTTATAACATGTGATTCCTCAAATAATTGCCAATACTGCTGCAATAGGTCTTATTTTTAATGAGTTTTCACCTACATGTCCTGATGGTACACATAGCCTCATAGATTATGATTCTATGATTCTATGATTTTGTAAAAAGAAATTGACTGGATATATGCAAAAATTCCAAAACAGGAGCATGTATCATATATGTGTTCCATTAGAGCATATTCTTTGCAAGCTCGTCTGTACTGCTTGGCATATCTTACTGTCTTTTTTTAAAAATACCACTGATAATGCAGACTGCTTTCCTCTTAGGGTACTAAACAGTTCGCTTCAAGAATTTCAGAATATCTTGAACTTGTTCTAAAGACCCAAAGCCACTAGCTGTGCACATCTGAGGAAGATTTCTATGGAAGGAGAAAGAAGGCAGAAGTGTAGGATGAGAAAAGTCAGAATCTCACAGTGCTACAAGCCCAGTTTGTCTCCTTTACTCCATGTAATCCCGAAAGATACAGTTTGTACAGAGAGATAATATTTTTTATTAGAGCAACTGTGATGAACTTTTGAATCACTTATTCTAGCAAAGGGCATCCCTTTTCCACACAAACTTTGCCTTGCTTTTAATCAGCCTTACTAGTAACAACATGAAATAATTGTTTAGCTAGACTAGATGTTCCTAACTCAATTGGATCTTCAGATTTACACTGACAGAGAGCTAAAGGACACAGATTAAAATCATAGGGTTGATATTTCAGTGCATATTATGATTTTTAAAAATTTTGTACACATTGGTAGTTTGACCGCTGCATATGTGTAAAATAGGAATAAACTTCCACTCAAGCTCCCTTTTTTACAGTAACACTTCTACACCCATTTACCAGTCTACTCCCTCAGCCACAGTCACATCACTGTTTCTCTTCTCACATATGAATAACAGGCAAACACTGCTAGCATCTTGAGGATTTGGGAACGTACAGTGTCCATCAGAAGGATGGGATCATGGGTTATATGAGAGCACCAGTTATCTTACAGCTGTCTTCAAGGAGCAGTACTTTCACTGCAATGCAGTTCATACATGTGAAAATACAAAACTAATACAGCACTTTTATGGTGCTTCACAATACTGGCTGATGGGCTGCAACAGATGAAAGGACTGAGGTTGGATTTGGCACGATGATTTTAAGCGGGCATATCCACACTGCATGTCTGCTACCTATGATGTATATGCCAGTTGTCGGTCTGTTAATGTGTCCAAAAGCCAGCTGCTCAAGGACCTCTTAGCCACCCAGCAAGTGGGGCACAGCAAGTTATGCTGTGGTCTACAATGTCAACCTACTACTTCAAGTCAGACAGAAATGTGCACCAATATGCACCACAAATCTGCAAGTGTGATTATAAGGAAAATTTGCACCTGTAGATAGCTCACCAGTGTACTGAATTGCTAATGCAGATGCACCCTTAGATGCTGGTCCTCACCATGGTGAAATGGCAGTCATTTGCAAAGAAGAATGCTTATTTTATATAGAATGTCAAGTCTCCTGAAATTCATTAGTTATTTAGACACAAAAAGAATGTTGCAAATATCTTGCTTATCCTTCATCGTCCTGATTGCCCATTGCTGTCTGAAACAATAGAAAATGGAATTAGAACCTTGCAGTGCTTATAATATGTTAGATAGATCTTTGTTTAAAATTAAATTGTTTAATTCCTAGTTTGTTCTAGTACATGGCAAGTGTGATTTAATAAATACAAAAAGTTACAATGTTGCATCAATGTTACATGAGAACAACATACTTAGCATTGTGATTTAGGTATCCTCTTCAAGACAGTAAGTAATTAATATGAAACTAATTATATAGAAGTACCTGATCAACTAGTTCTTCACTTGGGTTTTTGTTTAGTTGGTGCACAAAACCTTAATTGTAAATGACACCCAGTGTGCAGCTGCTTGTATTACATTGTGCAATGTCTGTGACTGAGACACTGCTCCAAAAGGCAAATCTATTGCATGTTTACTTTTCATTTTACACGAGAAAGGTATAACAATAATTGTAACTTTTCTGTTAGTGGAGTTGTTTTTTGTAGGGTTTTTTTTTGTTTAGTTTTGGGCTTTTTTTGACATATCTTTTTATTCTCAGGAAAACAAAGAGAGGAGAGAGGAGCTTGAGAAGAAGCAAAGGAAGTTGCAGTCTGTCCATGGGAATGAAATGAGTCCTCCCTGGAGGCCACCTGGCAAAGTCACATATTCAGGGAATTACTGAGAAGTTTATTGCCCTGTGGAAGAAAACATAGTCCACAAAGTTCTGACAATGACTAGTCGCTATTTCATTAACAGTTGATTTTCACTGGATCCATTGTAGGTGTTACATTCTTTCTTTTTAGTTTATTTGATCTCTACAATTTAAATAAATCGCTTGTCTCTTTCCACTGCTTTAGAAAACGTACTAATTTTTCTAATTCCACATTTGATGTAGTTTTGCTATATTCTATGCTACTTCATACCTTTTTCGTGAAAGTGTATATTCAGGATGAATAAGGCTGGACTCTGGCATTTTTTTCACCCAATAGGTAGCAGAATGGTTATTTTTAAGTTACTAGGCCACACTTTTGAGGAGTTAAGTCTTGAAGAAATGCTTGGAGGAGGCGGTGGGGTGTGGAGATGATGGGCAAGGAGATGTTGGTTCTCCTGTGATGGTAAAAGACAAAACGCTAAGGAGTATGGTAGGAGGATGTCATTTTCATACATGGAGAGATAAAGTACAGAGAAAATAAACTTAGATTATGTTACATTATGAAATATAAATACAGCTCCTAAATTAAAACTGCACCTAGCAGAAGCAGGTTTTCATGGGGCCAAAAGCAGTCAGCCATGTGATGGTACAGAAGAATTAAACTGGAATCCATATAATGTAAAATGATATAGGACTAAGTAAGATTGTAGCTGTTAATTCCCTTTCAGATCTTCATATACATTCCATAGATTCCCTGCTTCCTTCATGATAAAATAGTTTTAGAGACATGTTCACACAAAATCTTGCATAAGAATTGCAAGGGCAGAACAGTGGTACTCTTGTGAGGCAAACTTAGAGACAGAAATATTTTTTTTTGGAACTTAATTTAAAGGCTTCTGTGATTGTTTTTAAAAGATCAAGTAAATCCTCCCCAAACACATTTTCATCATTGCTAATGAACAGGTTCCTGTAGTAAATGAATACATTTTTTTCTTTTTTTTTTTTTTTTGGCTATTTGCCTCACTATTCTGGAAGCAATGGCAAGACTATGTGGCTTTCAAGATCTTCACATCTCGTTTGCCTGCTGTCTAAACTCAAGCTGTTACTTTTGTTTGTGTTTTCTTATTTGAACTTTAATAATCACTCCAGATCAGATATGCTCCTCAAATGTGTATTCTTTAAAACAAAACAAAACTAGTATCACCAACCAAGAAGTAAAAAAACATCCTGGTCTTTAATTTATGGATATATTTTCTCAAATGAAAATCTTGCTCCTGTTTAGACTGGCAGCCTCCTTGGGAAGTAAAAGGAGCATATGAGAAGTAGACTTTTCTTTTTCACTAGAGTTCTGTCCTGTTCGTAAATCTCTGAGATAGTCCTTAAGTGTGCGTTTCATGTAAAACTGGGGCATCTCCTTAGAAAAGAAAAGACAAATAGAAAAGACTGACAATCAAATTAATTTTTTTAGTTTCCTGATGTTTCTTGCTTGGCTTTTTTTTTACATTGTAATGAGAGCGACTGAGGATTTAGAGGCATTTGTTTTGGCCATAATGGTTTCTATTACCCAAGTGCTGTACAGGTGAAATTTATTGCTGGTATGTATGTACAAATGAAATCAAAAGGGTGTCTGTTCTGTCTCAGTATTCAGTAAGGTCCTGTTCATTATTTTACCTTGAATGGCTCAACTTCCGGTTGCTTTTCATGTAACTTGCTCATGGTAGCCCCATTGCATATTGGGATTTTTGAGCAGAACTCTGCTGGTTCTGGCTCTTGCTTTTAGTTCTGTTTCTTCCTCAAAAAGACAATTGTGCTGGACCTGGATTTTATTCTTTTATTTGTTTCTAGCTTTCTGTCACTGGGCTGTTCTCCCATAAATGTGTGGCTGGAACAGTTTTTTCCACTGAAGAGTTTCAAGAGAAGCCAGGGACCTTAATGACACCCATCCTTTGATTATATACCGTCTGCAGGTAATGCACTCTTGATGTCTTCCAGTGAACCCTAATGACAGTAATGACCTTTTTGATGCTTCTGTGAGACTCAGGTTTGTGCCAAGAGTCATCACTCAGATGCAGAACTTCTGAGCAGGGCATTGTTCTTGCAGGTTTATGCTAAGCTCATCTTCTGTCATTTGGGAGGAGGAAGACATTGGTCATAAGGGAGAGAGGTCAGGAGAGAGGCTGGAGCTTTCAGAAGCACCTCAAATCCTGTAGTCAACTCTTTCCAAGCTCCTGGAGTCTGGCTGTGTTCCAAGGCCGTTGGTGTTTTTTTTCAGGAAGACTCTCTTTATGGTAGTACCCATGCTGAGTTTCCTACACTGCAGTGTTGCAGTGCATGGCATTACAGAAGTTCCCAGCTAAGGGATTCTGCACATTAGTTAAGGGATTCTGCACATTAGCTTTTTGCAGCGATCAATAAATCCAGATTTTTATCTAGCATAAGCCAGACATTGCAGATAAGCAAATATGTGGCTCTCATAACCTCCAGGTCTGGCTCTGGCTATTTCCTTATGGCAGGCCAGGCATTTTTTCCAGCAGTAGTGGCATCAGATCAACAGTATTGGCCTTCAAAGGAAAAGAATCCACTGCCCACAGAAACTTTCAAGAAGCTGAAAAAATGCCCAGCCAGAGCAGTTTCACTGGTCAACCTAAAAGGTAGGGTAAAATTACAGATAGCAGCAGGAGAGGTAGTGGGATTGCAGCACAGGCAGAATGTAACAGACTCCCAACTCAAAAGTTACCCACCCAGATTTTAGAAGAAAAATATTGAATGAATTCAGGCCTTAAGACTGGAGCTGTGGTGTGCATCACTGGTCCTCTAGGCTTCTAGATCTTAGAGCCTTGAATTCAGGTTTACTTTGTTAAGAAACTCCAGCAATAGTATCGTGGGAGGATGAAATGTGTAGCAGGCAGCAGAGTTTGCTGTCCAGCAGATCTGGGAAGTCTGAGACAAGGAATGCAGTCTGGGACAAGCGAACCATCTGGATCTTTATTTTCACAGTGTCCAGCTGGAGGAAGTAAGGCAGGGCGCTATGCTGACAGTCCTGTACTTGAGGAATGCAAATGAAAAGTGTGGTAGAATTAGTGGCAGAGATAAAAAAAAGTTTGTTGGGTGATTGTGCCTGAGCTGAATACTGCATTCTTACTGGCTTTAAGCCTTTAGATGACTGGGTGGAAGGTTTTTGACAGAAAATAGAAGTGAGAAGATGTTGGTGACATCTTTCAGAGGAGTGAGGAGGCACTTACGTAAGTTCACAACTTCTGAGTTAGAAAAAGATGCTGAAGATCTGTAGATGGGGAAAACAGTTGATGTATTTAACTTTTACAGTAAAATTTTGGGAACTTTGTCTAATTTTACATTGTGAAAACTGGGACATATTACATCATGATGCAAATGTCATAGAAAAAATAGAGCTGAGAAATATGAACATATGTACATTAATTTATAAAAATATACAGATATCTGTATAAATCCTATCTATATGTTTTTTGATTACAGAGAGAAAATATTTTGTATTTAATAAAATATATTTTATTATAATAGCCTCAATGTTTTTAACAGATCCTAGGATACAAATCTTTATTTAAAGCTTTAATACATGGAAGTGAACTAGGCAGTGTCTCTAAGCACAAGCTATTCTTTCATCACTGTTAATATGACAAGTACAAAGGGAACTTCAGTATCCCGCTGAACTCAGAGCTTCTACAGCACTACAGCTATCTCCTCCACCTCACTTACACTCTTGCTTGCTGCCACACAGTGCAAACATTCATTTAAGGAACGTAGTTTCCAAGTCATAACCGGGAAGATGATCAGTACCTCTCATTTTTTTCCCAAATTATTTCATTCAGGCATTAAGTTGCTACATTGGTGCACTAAAGGGGCAAGCTGATGATAAAAAATTTTCAGGTCGCTCATTCTGGGTAAGAAAAATTATATGTTGTTCTCTGTTGTATTTTTTTTTCTTTCAGATTCACAAAATATCATCTGGCCTGTATGCCATGCACTGCTGTGTTTTGTTTGGTTCATTATACGTTCAACTGAGTTACTTGACTCACTAACAGGGATAAACTCTTTTGGGCTGTGAACGCTGATGGCAGCCTTGGCTGCACATCAAAACCTGGACTTGCTCCAGTTTGTCCATATCTTTCTTGCTCTGGGGAGCCCAAAGTTGAACATGATGCTCGAGATGCAGTCTCACTTCAGCTGCAGTACCACACGAGCCAAACAGAGGGGAACAATCACTTCCATCAACCTGCTGAATACAGTTAGTGATACAACCCACAATGCCACTGGCATTGTTTGCTGTGAGAGCCCATGGCTGCCTCTTCTCCTCTGGCACCCTGAGGTGTTTTCCTTCAAAGCTGCCTTCTGTCCATTGGGGCTCAGCCTGTGCTGTTGGCCTGAGGTTATTTGGCCCAAATGCAGGACTTACTTTGCCTTTGTTGACCTTAAAGCTTCCCATCAGCCCACTTCTCCCACTCCTTTGGGAACACCCTACTTGGTTCCGTGGACTTAGTTATGTCCACTTAACTGAAGTGCTCCCCTAGTCTGTCTTTCTCATCAGTGCTTCAGTGCCTGACGGCTGACCTCATCAGTAAAAAAACAAAAAAACAAAAACAAAGAAAAAAAAAAAATACATCAAGAACCTCAGCTTCTTCCATGAATCAGGTGTCATTAAGTCATTTGGCCCCCTGAGCAGCAGGATCACATATTTGTTTCTGTGCCAGTGTACTTACAGAAGCCCTTCTTTATACCCTTGGAGTCTTGTATGAGCTTTAACTCCTGCAGGTCTTTGTCTTTAGTGAATGCTTGCATGCTCACTCCAGTAACATCTCTATTTTGCTCCATCTCTGTGCTTGATTACTGTCTGAACTCAGGCATGAGAGCCCCGTTCATGCACACTGGCTGCCTGCCACACTTGCTCAACTACCCACATATCAGAATGGGCTTTTCCTGTGCTCTGACAAGGATATTAAAGAAGGTCAGCCAGCTCTCCTGGGTCCTTTTGCTTTCCAGTACAGCTTCCTGTGAGATCCTGACAAACAGATCCCTGAGCAAGCCATCATCTTCTCTCCTGAAGGCCAAGGTTGTGGTTCTGTTTACCTTGCTGCTTCTTACACAACTGAAAGTTTCACTATCTCAGAGTCATGGCAGCCAAGCAACCATCAGCTTTCACAACCCAGGCCAGTTCATCCCTGTAACCGTCCATTACCTAAGGTCAAGTCCCCAGCACCTCTTAGGGCATCAGCATTTCCACCCTCAAATTTCTACTGAACCACTGGCTTTTAAAGGACAATTTCTAAGATGTTAATAACCTTCATTGGTTAGATTTACCTCTAATGGATAGTAAAGTAATTGCAAAACTCTTATCTCATTATTTCAGCCTGGGGCACGGAGAAATCTGCTCTTACTAGCAGATTGCATTCAGGCAGTTGAGCTGTTTTCAATATAGCACATAATTTTAGCACCTACACTCAAACAGAGGAAAAGTGCTACTAGAAGCCCTTAGTATTGCAAGATATTTTTCTCTTTTACTACTATTTCTTTTATGAATACTCTTTCTCTGTGATGCTTTTATTTCTGGATATATTCAGACTAAAACAGTTGAAAGTTTTTCATGTACTTTTTCATTTAAAGAAGCATCAAATACTCCCATTATATGTTAATCATTTTTCATGAATAGTCTGGTCCCTGATGCTAACAAATGATAGGAGGATAACATTCTACACAAGCATCATTAACTCTCAACACTTAACTGCTGTAAGGCCCAGGTGGAGCATCGATATTAATAATAATATGCTGATTGACTTCTATTTTCCTTTGTCCCTTTTAATACGGTGTAACATACTGAGCACCCATTCCCATATGCTACTTTCTAACCAAATAATTAAGGAAAAACAACAAGAAAAAAAATAGAGCAAAGGAAGTTTCTCTATATGCCTTTTTTAAGACACATCTGCAGAATCATGGCAAATAAATGACGTTTTGGGAAAAAACTTCCTCTATGCTTATTAGGACTTCCAATACTGAAGTGTAATGAGGATGTGCAGAGGTGATTTAGCATCTAGCCTAACAGGCTGGTCATGAACCCCTGAAGGTGGATAGGATAACTGCTTGCATCCCAAAGGGCTTCTTTGAGACCTGGGGATTGCAAGGTTTGCTCTCTTGACACTGGCAGGGTAGTATCCACTCTCCCCTGCCCATACGAGAAAGATCCTGTCACCAAGAACTGCAGGAAAAATATGCACAGCAGTTAACTTGGCCAATAAGTAACTGCTGCAGAAAGCTTTCCAGACTTCCCAGATTTGCCTTTTGTCTAAGTAGACCCTTGTTGTTATGTTTCTATTGCTTAGATCATCTACCACTGAAGGAGAATATTGTCTCCAGTTTAAATGGGACTCAGAAAGATTTATTTTGCAACAGTTGAGTGAGCAAAATGAATACCAATAAGAAAATAAAAGCAAACATTATTAAATTTATCATTTGGGGAAATATTAGTGGTTATGAACCTGGTGCTGGATACTGCACAAGCAAAATGTAAAGATGACTTCTCACAGAAGGCTCTCCATCCCAGAAAACACACAATAGAGATTTTAGTCAAAAGCACAAGAAAAATGAGGAAGGCAGCATCAGTTGCTGAACAGCAGCTGTGGTACAGTTGTATCAACAGCTCCTGGCTATTGGATTTCACAGTCCACCAGCTACTGTCCTTGCTAGCTATCTTGCTCTCAGCAGAAAATCCAATATGCTGATTTTCCCCTTGACTCTTCTGCTGACTGTGTTGTCAAGCATCCTCCCTCTGGTGTCCTTTCTGCTAATGCACCAAATTTCCTGTCTTTCCTGCTTAAGAGACCAAATCATTCTGTCCATTCTTGCTGTCATACAGCACCTCCAAAAGAGATCAATCTGCTCAAAGAATGAATCTGCCATCAGTATTGCCGTACAATTTAAAGTATTATTATAGCATTAAACCCTGACATCAGCTTGATATGTATTTTCCCTTAAAAATATGGTAATGCATCAAGCTGTTAAATTTCACTGCAGCAAAATTGACATTCTGTTTAAAGTTTCTATTCCTCATGTGAATCAATAAAATGTAGGAATGCTGCATTGGAAAAATGTTCTTTGTGAACAGCTATGCATTTATAACCTATCCAAAGTGAGGGCTCTTAATAATGACCCCCAATTTTCAAGGACAAACTATGTTTTTTGGATCACGAAATATTACTAGAAAGAGAGGTTATGTGCAAATAATATCAGGGCAATTACTGGAGGAAACAACAGGATTAATGGCTCAAGGCTGAGCATAGCAAGTGCACATTAAGTGTTTCACAAAGCCTTTCAGCTGATTTGCAGCTCGAATATCCTTTAAACTATTCTCTTTGATTCACTTTCGCCATTTCTCACACAAGTTTGTTTTTTTTTTTTTTAATAATCCTGTGCACTGGTTAAAGCACTCAGAAGAGAAAGAGAAGAGAGAGTTTTATGTCTATATGCAATTCTTGCTGTCAATCTGAGCTACATGTAGAAATACAATTATAAAACGGGTATGGATGCCAAACGTGAACTGGCAAGACTGTACTACTTAGAAGTACTGCCACAAGGGAAGGAAGTGGAGTCTGCCAGCCTGCAGCTCAATCTCAGAGCCTCTGCACTGGATGCCACGGGACCCAGTTCCCAGCTGCCATTTTCTGCGCACCTTTGCCATCAGGTTTGTACAAGGGGCCATGCCACAGAGCTGCAATGACATCCTGAGTTCATCCACTATCTCACCACTGATGGGGTAAAACAGCGAGGACAAGACTGGCCAGTGGGGTTTTGCACAGATTTCACTCTTTGTTAGAGGCTGAATGTCTCTTTTCTGACCTGACAATGTTTGGGAAAATGCCTCTGAACAAGCTGCTGGCCACATGTGCCAGAGCAAGATTTACTATAAGCAGTAATATAGTCATAGCTGGCAAGGCTCTGTTTTCATCATTTTAAACATTTAATTCCTTTGAAAAACAAATAAACTGTTGCCACAATAAAACACTCAATGGGCAATAAGTGCATCTTACCCATCTTTAGCAGAACTGGCAGCCAAGAATTAGTACACACATATTTGTTGCTCTTATATGAGGCCTAGATTGCCCTGGAATACTATTAAGAATATTTAAGGGAAAAAGCAAAGGTTGATGTTTTGGCCATGCTTAAAAGCTTAGCAGCTGAAAAATAGATTTATCTTGCTTTATGAATCCTGAACTCCAGCTCTGTAAAACAAAGTAAGATTTTCAGGTGTTAAGCATCTGGACTTCCCAGAGATTTCACTTGTATTCATGTCCAGCCATACCTGGATAAATTAGAGCATTTGATACATTTGTTGCCCAGGTGATCATTAAAGAGATCCTCCCACTGTCCCATGGGAAGAGGTTAGATTTGATCTTCCATGTTAGGCAAAGGTGGTTTCTCAACCCCGAGTCCCAACCAAATCAGAGGTCAGAAAACACACCTTC